GGGACAGAGATGTTTAATATACAAAGCTTCTTCCATAGTTAGATGTTTCCGATAATTTGGTTTGTATAGAATTTTAGTATTTTCCACGAGAAACTTTTAAAGGATTCCTGTAATTTTTTTATAGATAGAGAATCTTTATAGCTCTTTGATCTGATAATTGACACGTGAGTTGGTAGAATCTCTGATATAGTTAATTAAATTTTAACTAGAAACACATCTCTCTTTCTCTCTGTCTCTCTCTCTCTCGGTGTCTCTCTCTCTGTCTCTCTCTCTCTCTTTCTCTCTCTCTCTCTCTATATATATATATATATATATATATTTCACAGACAGACTTTTCACTGTATCAAAGCACATCAGTGTGACTAGACACCCGATTGCTTCAGGCCGGGACCGAAACCCGATCGATTTAGTATCAGTCGGGGATTTTAAACTCTAGAACATCGACGGAGAGAAAGTCAAATTTTTGTGTATTTATTTTTTAATAAACACACCAGTCACTTAGAGAAATCAATCATCTTGGAGAGTCTTACATTATCAGCAGTAATAGAGACTGTTCACAAATTCGCTCTTTACTCCCTATAGTGCTCGAACGATTAATTTTTTTTATCGAGAGAAATATCGTCATCCACAGAAGCACTGTGCCGCGCCAGGAATTTTTCACCCCGGAATCGATACTGCAAATATACAAATCAACCATTCGTCCTTGCATGGAGTATTGCTGCCATATATGGTCTGGTGCACCTTCTGTTTACCTCGGAGTTCTTGACAAGATCCAGAGGCGGATATGTAATATAATTGGCCCTGATCTGGCATCTCGTCTACAGTTGCTCTCTCACAGCCGCGCCGTCGCCTCTCTCTGTCTTTTTTACAAATACTTTCATGGTAATTGCTCCGATGAGCTGCTTTCACTGGTTCACAGACTTCATGAATTCAAGCGCCCTGCGAGGCTGGCATCCTGCTCTCACCCTTTCACTGTAGAAACTTTTAAATGGAGCCGTCTCTTCTACTCCAATAGCTTCATACCTCGCACCTCTCGGCTGTGGAACACCCTTCCCTATTACCGTTTCCCTGAGAACTATAATCTCCAAATATTCAAATGTAATGTCAATCGACATCTCCAGTAACCTTGATCCATCCACTCTCCTTCTCCTCATACTTTCGTCTATCACTCCTATCCGCTCTCGCTCCAAATCTTCTGCAACCACCTGCATCCTAGTTGCTTCCCGCCTTGCTCGGGGCGTAATGCTTAATATATATATATATATATATATATATATATATATATATATATATATTGATTGTCACGTAGCCACGATTTCATTAACCATATAGGCGTTAGGCTAAAGTAAAATCTTAAATAAAGAGAAAATTAGTTAGATATAAAAGAAAAATAAATAAATAAATAAAAACAGAAATTTAATCCAATGCTTCCGACTCGCGAGCGAATATATTCTATGATCAGCCATACACCTTCTTTTCTCTTTACAAATTCTTTCTCTCTTTATCCTCTCTTCCACCCGCGAGCCAAGGGCCCGTGAACTTTGAAGTGACCCGACGCGAGAATGACCTGGTTCCAAGATTCCGCAGCTATCAGGCAGCTAACCATAAGTGAATTCCAGGCACCATCAGGGTCTCCTGCTGCGATTCACGTGATCGGAACGTACTGGGCATGTGTTGAACTTTTGGCCATCACACAAGCACTGCGTGATTTGCGCCCTATCCACCTGGGTACCCGGTCAAGGACGAAGGGAACCCACGTGACTGTCGTTGGGGACAGCGAAAACCAAAAAAGGATTTGGCAGTTTCCCTCTGACCAGCGGCAGTTGAACGTCGCTGGGCAAAAATCGTCAGACCGCCCACTGAGATGAGGAAACTTTTAAAGGATGAGGAAGACAGCAAAGTCTGCCTACTAGTGGTGAACGGAATGCTAGGGAACTGACCGACCCAACCAAACGCCTGTATGAGATGCTGTGGACCCTCGAACACTTGCGAAAAGAAGAAGAATCCAAAAACATTGTCGGCCAGCCAAGATAATGTTTTATCATCAGAACTCTCGCTTCGGCGAATCAAAACTTTATGTGAAGATATCAGCCCGACTGCAAGATAAGTTGGTTCTTTTGGCTTGATCTGTTTTCATATATGTATATATTCGCTCACGCCTTCTATTCTTTAATGATGTCCTCCCCCTTTGTTAAATGAATGTTCTTTTTTTTTCTTTATTTCGTTATATATATTTATAAATAAATGTTTTATTTTGAAATCCATCGTCTTGTGTCTGTTCTTCGTTGATTCCCTTGTGTCGCTTCCATTTCTGAGTGAAGACCGAGAAAAGAAACCACGTTTTCCTTTTTTTTTTAGAACCTATATGCTACAAGTTCGTAACAATATATATATATATATATATATATATATATATATATATATAGGAGAAAGTGATTTATAAAAGAATTCAGATAGATCATATACCTAAACCTATATATTAAAAAAAACAAAATAAGATAATTGTAAAAGACAGAAATTTCCGCATCTTCTCTTCTTTGTGCGCATGTTTAGTTATATCAATATAAATATGACTTTCGTCCGATGAAGTCCAAAAGGCCGAAACAATTAACACAAAAAAGTTTCCTAACACACGCGCACGCACACACACACACACACACGTATATATATGTAAAAAATGGACTCTCCCGTCGGTTTTGACGTATGAGGACCTACCAGCTTATTCATTCAGTTATGAAAGTTTGTGCGATAATCTTAAGCGGCATTTAAGAGATGAGATCACTGTTAGATTGACTGACCTTTTAGATCTTGCTCTCGCTTCTTGAAGATGTTTCAGACAAGCAGATTGAAAATTGCTGAGTCCACTAAAACACGTTGATCTCCATTCTACCCGCTCCAAGGCTAAGTGCTCAACGTGTTATATTGACTGCTATCCTATATTAGGTGAAACCTAGTAGAAGAACTGCAGCACTATAAATATTATTTTTTTTATTATTATTTTTATTATTAATATTATTATTATTAATAATAATATTATTATTATTATTATTATTTTTATTATTATTATTATGTGAACGCTATTTCATTTCCGCCATCTGAAATGATAGTCACTTTGTGCTAACGCTATTGAGATCAGCATTTGCGCGGGAAGGGCTTCAGACTAAACCGCAGCCAAAATGGCGCCATTAACGATGTTGAAGTACTGTGCTTATTTATTTAACGCCTGCGCTTTGGTCATGTCAATGCTTCTGATATTGACATATACATTCAATTCATCCAAATACGCAATTTTACTTCCCATGGTTTATTTCATTTACTTTCTTTCTTTCTATCTTTCTTTTTTCATTCATCATATACTTCAAATGTAACTTGGACAATATTCTTTTTCTCCGATTCTGTCCTTATTTTTTCATCCTTAGAGAAATTGCCGTATACTTCATTTCTTGCGAAAGCTGTCTTGGCATTTGTTTGACTTTCCTTTGTTATTTTCCAATTCTTTTATCTCCTATTTTCAGGCTTCTCATCTTTGAATGTACATTGTGTGATTTACTATATATCTCATGTCAACCCGTGTAAATTCGGAAACATCGTGACATTCAAATTCTTACATACATAGACTTAAATAACGACGCATCTATCTTTCAACCCAACTCATCTATCTTTCTATATAACTAACGAGCTGGATTGCTATCTGTGCATGATAAATGAGTTACAGGAAATTTTCGAACAAATTATGTAAGATGCAAGTCGTAAAAAGAAAAGTATAAGTATCCAAATTCTTAGAAATTATCATATATATATATATATATATATATATATATATATATATATATATATAAGTGTTTTGTTAGATAGATGAGCGTAGATATATATAATTCTGAATTATCTCTCTCGCTCTATCGCTCCCCTTGCAATCCCTCTATCGCACTCTCTCTCTCTCTCTCTCTCTCTCTATATATATATATATATATATATATATATATATATATATATATATATATATATCGTTACATATATTGGGTTTTCTCTATTATCTTATGTCTATCTAGAAACACATAGAAACATACAAACACACACAAGCACAGAAACCATCCTGGGTAAGACGTTAAACTACATCCGCGTCCTGGGTAAGAGGTTCCACTACATCCGAGTCCTGGGTAAGACGTTAAACTATGTCTAGCAGCAAGGCCTCTGACCACGTGGTTTTGATTAGCTTGGAACCACCTCTCAATTGCGGTTGTAGCACCTGTTAGGGTCCCAGCTATGGGCAAATAGTTAACTATCAACAGCAATACTTTTTGGAAAATATTATTACCAGCAATACAATTTTGAAGGAAATATATTACCAGAAATAGATTTTTGACAAAACAAAATATTAGCAGCATTAATTTTTTGTCAGCATTAAATAACCCATTGAGGTTGATATGCTGCAAAACAAAATAAATCAAACCAAACAAGCACAGAAACACACACACACACACACACACACACATATATATATATATATATATACTTTCGAATGTAATGTATGGAGGATAGACTGTGAATAATCTGACCAAAGGTCATGTTTTTTTAAACATGATGCAAGATTTTCGACGATGCCCTCCATTTGAAAACCATGTGTTGTCTATATGGCAGACAAGTTCCGTTGTCTGAATCTTGTTATTCTTTAAAAATTAAGAAAAGTAATAAAAATAGTCCATGGTTACACCATGTTAATAGTAAAGGGGAGCGAGTTAGTACCAAAAAAATTCAATTTTATGCGTTTCTTGATGCTATATATTTTTCTTATTATCATACTAAAAATGTTACATGTACTTTAAGACACCGTCTCCCAAGCTGAAATATAAGTCTATTTAATCGGAGTTGTTTATTTTATATAGTAATATTCCCTAGAATTGAAATTTGCATTATATAAGCTACCACATATATTATATTTCCCAAATTATCTTGTGTTGATAGTAGTATTGTGAATGTAGTTAATATGCATCTCTATTTGCTTACGGTCAAATCACGCTGAAACACCGTTTATCGTTCGATCACCGAAGTTAAGCATCGTAGAGCCAGGTCAGTACTTAGATGGGTGACCGCTTGGGAACACCTGGTACTGTAAGCCCCCAAAGACCAACCCTTACCTCACAGTCGGTGGGGGGTGTAAACGGTAGCGTCAGAGCTATGCCGCCCGGAACTTCGTTCCTGGTAGGGCCACCCAAGGCGGACAGGTCTGACACACACGCCGGCTCACAAGGGCTCTGGTGAAAATCCAAGGATGTCTGCATCGGTAACCGGCGGCTTCTGGTCGTTCCTGTCTCTGCGTCTGTGGGAATCCCGCGGCAAGCAAGAACGTTATTCGAGTAGGCCTGGGTACCCTACTTCTGTAATTTATCCCAAGAATCTTCTTCTCATAACAGGAAGAAGCCGGCTCAATCCACCCAGGGTGAATGCCGCATCAGTACAGCAGTACAGTACATCTCTATCTGTGCAGAAGTTTTATTCGAATTTCGATAAGGGTTACACCCTTAATGATTATTATTTAATTTCTTCGTATTTTTCTAATGAAACATGACCCAGTGCACAATGTCTTTCCTTGCAGATTGGTCACAGATTCTCTATTGGATTTAAATCAGGAAAGATTAGGCACCAGTCTATAGTACTTTCCTTGTAGTAAGATCCATCGCAGACAATGGCCGTATGATATCTAATCGACAGTCGAGGATATAGTGTCTTGTCGTGATGAAAATCTAATGCAAACACGGAGGATGCAATATCTTTCAAGGCCAAACGAATTTCATCATACGCCCCGAAAAAAGATTCATATTGCTGTACACCACTTCAAATGACCTAATCTGGGATAAATAATAGAAATCGATTACACCCTGTCACTCCAGTGGGTCTTAAATTTCAATTAATTTGCACAAGGGTTTATATCAACCTAAGAGAGAATACAGTGCACGTATTACGATGTAAAATTTAATATCGTCTATGATTTTGAGTCTTGCTTTGCATTGATTGTCCTATATATTATATTCGTCAAATTAACTTATGGTGATAGTAGTATTGGAATTGTTTGTAATATGCTTCTCCATATGTGCCGGAATTGTATTCGAATTTTGATGGCTGATAGCTCAACTTCATAATATGGTGCATGTATTGGCGATGTAAAATTTAATACTGTGTTTTGGTTGTTACTTTTATCCGTGGCGGCATGATCGTTCACAAACAGATGGAGATTTCCATCGGCAAAATTTTGAGTTCTTCATTTAGTGGTAATAATTAGATACAAAATCCCCCAAAAGTCTTTACAATGTAAACAGCCTGATTTCACATCTTTCTTTCAGTCATTTTCTAACCGACGTGACATGGCTTGCCTCAGTCTTTTCTCCAAATACATTCATGACATCTGATCTGACGAGCTTTTCCCTGGTGCCACCAGTATATACATTTAAGCGTGCTACTTGATTGGCATCTACGTTCCACCCTTTTCTTCTGATGGAATAGTTAAATTTAACCGACATTTCTACTACAACAGTTTCTTTTTTTTCTCGCACTTACCGCCTGTGGAACTCTTTTCCGTTTACATGCTTCCCTGATAAATACAATCATAAAAAATTTAAATTTAACGTCAATCGCTATCTTCTTGAATCCCGGTCATCGTTTAACTCAAGTATGGCCAACCTCCTTTAAAGGCAAGGAAGGGCAAAAATATTTTAAGTCAATTGATAGTGATTGCTGTATGAGTCATACGATTTTTGAATCAATATATATATATATATATATATATATATATGTTTGTGTGCCTGTGCGAATATATATATATATATATATATATATATATATATATATATAAGCATCTGCTCACTGTTTAAAACATGATATAGTAACTCAATTATTTTCTTTTAATTCTTCTGTTGACAGCTGACACACTTTTGCATATTACCTTTGTTCAATATATTTTGAAAATAATTTTCCACTTTACATATTCATTGTATTTCTGGGTGAAAACCCATTGTGATTCTGAAATTTAATATACTAGTTTCTTTATTCTTAATAAATTTTCGGGATTTTTAAATTGACACAAATCCTTACGTTTCCGACATGCTTTCTCCACTAACGTCCTACATTTTGTTTTTCCTAATTAGTATTTAAAAATCTCCTAAAACCCACAGATCGTGCAATATATCATTGGACATAGCGTTAAACGAAGTAATAAGATAAACTAAATAAATCATTTTACAAATTGAAATACATTTTCATGTAACAATTTTAACAATATTTACTGCCAAGATTTATTCTTTCAAATTTTAAACGATATTTCCATAATTTAGATAAATATATATAATTTTATAAGAAAACAAATGAAGAAAATCAGAATAGACACAAATATCAAAGCCATTTGCAAAATCCAAGAAAATAGGAGAAACAAATCCTTCATAGTGCGCAGTGAGTCGCAAATACGCGAATGTGTTGAATGCAATATAATAAAGAATGTAAAATAATTCTTCTGTAACATTCTCTCAATGAGCGGGAATTGCAAAATATCATTACGTGACATAAACTGCAATTTTTAATTTAAAAAGAAATTTCGTTCAATGCAATTTTCAGTCTGTAAGTTTCTTAATTATAAATTCAATATTAAAATATTATATAAAATATCGCAGAAGTTCCTCAGTATTAAATTGCTAACTAGAAATGCCCATATAATTAAATATTTATTTAGATAATAGTTTATATACAACCGTAAAAACCAAGTTAATACTGAAAGACAGACTTCGGAGTTAATATTTTTCAAAACATGTATTCGTCGTAGTTCACTTGTAAACTCATCTGTCTATCTTTTTCACTTATAGAAATGAAATTTGTCTAGAAATATTTGCATACAACTGTCCATGAGAAGATTAATTTGAAATGTTATAATCGTAAAGTATTTTATGTATACAGGATTAAATTTTTAAAGCTGAAATAATTGCTTATACCGTGCTCGACTACGTCAAGTATCGTCAGTCAAATCGAGGTTGTGGGACCCATCAGCAGGGCGCATCCGCTACCGAGAATCGAAACCCGGACGGTTACGATATCAGGCAAACGTCAGACCAACTGTATCAACGGGCCTCGGTGACGGAGAGTTATCAAACTAGACTCGATATAGCGCCGCTCGATCACACATTCCGGGGTGGAACTCATCCGAGTTTCCCGTACCCATAGAAGTGTGCCCCCACCAGCCACTACTACTATCTCCTACGCTCCACCCAGAGCATTGGATGCCGGTTCAAGCAAAGATATATAGATAAAAAATATTAGGGGGGCTGAAGATAATAATAATTACGTAATTCATCGAGTCAAGAAGAAACCTCAACAGAATGCAGAAAACATTGGACCTTTGGATTCATCAGCAGTGCGCATCCACGACCGAGATATATAACTCCCCCGTCGAATTCGACGTATGCGGGTCAAACTGATCAGTTCCTAGGAAACCGACTGCGCGACAACTGCACATGACATTTGATCATAGTGGTGAAGGCATCGTGCAGGACCATCCACACTTTTTGAAGGGCCGAATACGGAAAACTGGTGCACTATCTGCCACAAGGTCCCCAAACGACCCTCTGCAGGTTTTGAATTCAGAGTTTTCCTTCTCCTAGACCAGTTGCCATCCAAGGCTATAGAACCCAGTCTGTCCTGCTATTTACCCATAGTTGGAAGGATAAGAAGATGAATCACACCTTTCCCAAGGGTATTAGTACGTAAGTGAATGTAATGGATTCGACTGGAATTCGAACTCGGCCCTCCGATTCCTCAATCCAAGCCGCTATCCATTACTTCAACGTGCCTCCTATATATATCCATATGAATCCATATATCAGTGAATCCAACTGAACTTAGGATATATATATATATATATATACATATATATATATAATTCACTTCTTCTTTATAGTGATGAACCTGCCGACATCCTCCAATGGCCAATTCTGTTTTGTGCCTTTAAGCTCACATTTAAAGACGATTGCCGGTGCTCCTCGTCCCTTTGACTTTTTCATGTGATTATGAATTGTATCGCTTAGGGTGAACTCCTTATTTTGGATGAATACAGATCAGCATTTCTTAGGTCAAAGGTTATTGATGAAAATTAAATTCCATTCTGACATTTGTTATTTTCTGACCACAAAGAACAAATTAAACATTAACGGAATTTTCCATTATAATATATTTTTTTTATTTAAACTGAGAATTTGTAACATTACAGGAAAACGGATTTCTCTCTAAGAGTAAAGTTTAAATGTTTGAATCGTGGATTTAAAACGTTTTATTATTAGACTTCTCGTATTATAGGATGAGGAGTCTTAGATTCTCTCACCTATCCGATATCCAATGTGTAATTGGCATACCGATTTCAAATTACGATTGAAACAGTTTCATTCATATTGGCAAATACACCGTTGGTAAATTACAAATCTATCCTTTCTTCCCAGTCTCGGAATTAAAAGCAGATTGGTTTCTATATGTGTGTCTAGGCACAGTCTGTGAGAAAGTTGGGCTTGGACTTGCCAAGTAAACCTCATACCAACGTATATGCTACAGATATCACAGATATTGTAATGCACTGTGAATTCATATTACACAGATGAGTCTACGCGAATTACATATTAACAAATATAATAATAGCTGTCTACTTGTTTCTACGTTTTCTAGGTTGGTTTGACAATGGCTGTTGCAGATATCAGCTCAGGCAGAATTTTGTTAGTTCCAAACCTAGAGATATCACTTCTTGTTTATGATGCTAGTATGATGATCGGTTTTTAGTTAGATTGTCTAAGAGAGAATGCGTTATCTGGTATGTTCAAACGTTTCCAATATGGCCCCTATGCATAAACCCCAATCAAGATGACTAAAATTTTCATACTTAATATAATTGCTTACTCTATTTTTCGTACAAAATACAAGTTACCTTTCTGAGAAACCTGGGTCATTTGGTCGGAATGAAAACGTTTAAACGAAGTGGTCACGAGCCCAAGATATACTCATCTATGTTTGCATACGACTTTTAAGATGATAACCTGACGATTATTGATCAAAAGTGTTTTCTATGGTATAATCGTTTCTGAATTTTCTGCTG